ACCCTAAACCCTCGAAGGAGGCTTACGGCTTTAAGCAAACCTTAAGGCTTCAAAGCAGGCTTTAAGCAAACCCCTAGAATTCTTAGAATTTTGGGAAACCCCTAGTTGAGGGAAACCCTTAGTGGCCTTAGGGGCACCCTTGGCTCGGGCTCCTGATCCGCTGGTGGCCCCAGGTCCGGAAGGTAGATGCCCTGGCGTTTTAGGGTTTTTTTAGAAAAAGTTCTTTTGGTGGTGCTTTAGGGGTTTGAAGGTTTTCTCGGGGGCTTGGGGGGTTTTAAGATTTTATTAGAGGCTTTAGTTGTGTTAAGAGTTTGATGTTTTTTGTTGAGGGGGGGGGGGGGAGAGTATAGGGACTCCTTTAAAGTGGTCTTTATTTAAGGGTTTTAAGTGTTCTTTTGGGGGGCGTTTTGGAGCATAAGGGCTCCTTCAAGGGGATCTTTAAGATCAGGTACTAGAGGCTTGGTTTTAGGATATTGGGGGGGTTGTGGGTTTTGGGGTGGAGGCTCCCTTGCAGGAGCCATGCCAATGTGAGTATAGAGCCATTGTAGAACCCTTTCGCAGTACGAAAATGCACGATGAGCTGCTATGACAATATTCTGCAATGCGTTATGCTCCACATTAAATAGACAATGTTGGAATGTACTGTACCGTAGTCTGACTAGCTACAGTCGGATGACACTGTCGCACTAAGTCTGTGGACAGCCTGTACACCCGAGTTTCATGTCCACAAAAGTTTGGAGCTGCACACTCATGAACAAAGCCACGACAACCAGGTGAGGTGGTCACTGACGCACGACCAGCAGCGCACACCGCATAACTGCGCACCAAGCTGTTGCTCACACATTGTCATGACCCAAAACCCTTTCCGGCCTGGAGTAGCGGCGAAGCAACTGGCCTTTGCAGTCTATTCAGCAAGAGGGCTGGGTTGAATTTCTGGGTTGCAAGAAGGTTTAGAACTCCCACGCGATGAAGCTGGTTGGTTGCTCTGTGTATCAAGAGTATTGTCTTTCTCCTGCCTGTCAGCGCACCCAACAGTCTTCAATCCCTGGGCACTCGGCCAATATGTGATCGGCGCAAACCTACCAGGTGAAGCTTCAGCCGAAAATAAGCATTGACGTTTGTTCTTGTTGCAGCTGTAGTTCTAGTACATCGATGAGAATGGAGATGAGACGGCGACTTGGGTTTCAACTCCACCGTCCCTCTCTAGTATGAACATGTGTATATGATTATATCACATACTACTATATGCGAAATTCTGTACATACATACATACATACATTACTTATCTAGTTATGTGACAGTCGTGAGCAGACTGCCGAGGAGAGCCAGCCCGTGCATGTAAAACTGGAACACGACTTTCCCAGAGCCAAGGCAGCGGCCGAATCATGGGAGAAGGCGTCGGGGTCCTGCCCCAGCCTCAGAGAGAGAGAGAGAGAGAGATTTGGCTTCAGGATTTAGGGTGTAGAGAAGTACTAGACGTCTCAGGATACGATCAGGGCCCCTGGAAGGGTATTATAAGTGCACTTCTCAGGGCAGCATAGGGGGAGTGCTGCCAAAAGGTTTCAAACCCATTCTGGCCGGCAGTATGCTTCTCTTAGTAGAAGCAGGCATTGTTATAGGTGTAGGTGGTCGTCTTGGTGGTGGCGGTATAAGAGCGGTTTTCTGCCGTGGTGGTGCTGAGTTTTAGATTTTAAAACAAGAAACGGCAGCAGCAGTAGCGGGCAGTAGAGGTAGCATACTGACAGGATGCAGCAAAAAGTCATAAGCTAAAACGGGATATGGTCGTCTTAGCTAGTTATGCTAGCACATGGTTTCAGAAAGCTCCGCAGCCAGCGTCCCAAAAAAGCAAGTTGCAGCGTGTCAGTCGATGCCTCCGGGTCCCACGGCAGGCGAAACCACTGGTGTGGCCTGCGTCACGAAAACGTCTCCAGCCATCGACAAAAAGTCTAAAACAGCTAAGCCCGAGCCCGACATCCCGAAGGCCTGCAAACCCGAATTTTTATCTAAACTTGTATTGAAGTATCTCTTCCTCCAAATCTAAGCGACAGAACAAAATGCCTTCGGCGATGCCCATGCCCGGTGCCGGGAGCGGCCCGACGTGGAAGGACCTTCTTAGGGATTAGCGAGAAGGTTGCGGCGTCTTGGGGTTTGGGCTTGGGGTCTACGGTGGTGTCGATATGCTTGGAACCTGCATGGCTCCATAACTTTTGAGTACACATACTACAGAAAACAGTTTTTGGGTATTTACTTTGATAACCAAGAAAATAGTTGTGCGCGCAGTAAGATAATCCGAAACCCCCAACCACCAGTCAAACCCTATACCACAAACTCCAAAACCCTTTTTGGCATCCGGGCTTGGGAAGTCGGCCGGAGAAAGTGACAAACCGCCCTTTGCACAGGACGCCATGCTACACGAATAGTCGGCTAGAGAACTCATAGGGTCATAGGGATGTATGTATCCCGACAAAACCGTTCTGAACCCACAGACCCTATAAGGCCAAACCCAAGCCAGTATAGAACCTCTCTATACACTGCCCACATACAGCCCTGATAGACCTTGTAACTTTTAACACGTCTGTTCTGAGAACACCCAAAACTGAGTACCGGCGAAGCTCGCTGCTTGGGCATGGCCCGAAACCCTTGTTGGGCTTCAGGACTTGGAGATTGGGCTTAGGTGTATACGGCCTGGGGCTTCCAGGGTTCGTGGTAGAACATGGACATAAGCCTAAACCCTCAGATGCCACAGATTCGTGTGTTCTGGATGAGGGTTGGATTCCACGGAAATATCTCAGTTAACAACGAAGGGAACCCTTCAAACCAGGGTTTGGAGTCATCAAAAACTCCAGGCCCGCGTTAAACACAAAGCCGGGCATGCCAACAGGATACATCAATCTGATGAATACCGACTCTCATTTTGTACATGTATGCAAGGTAGGGCATCGAAGAAGCAGAGGGCAACCCACGGCGAGCCCTTCGAAAAGTGCCATTTTAGACCTTGTAGACATTCTTGAAGAAGACATCCTGTACCCTGGCCCTGTACACTAACACTCCGACAAGCCAGGCGAGGCAATTGGTGCGCAGTTGGTGGAATATGTTTATCTCTTAAAAAAAATCAATGGCTTCTTTCTGTTTATTTTTAGGGTTTAGGGTAGGGATTGAGGGTATAGGGGCCCTATAGAGCCGGAACAACCCAGCAGTCAACCCGAACCACCTCAGCCCGATGTGAGACAACTACACCCAGTCTTTTCCTAAGGGCCAAGATAGTATCTACTTTGGCCCCAAAATACCTATGTAGGGACTACTAAAAAGCCAAAGTATATACTGTTTGGGTACGTGGACCCTACGGGTTTTGAATGAGGCAGGGCACTGGACCCCACTCCTGGGGAATCGGATGACTTCCGTCGGCTCATGGGAACGAACCTGAGATAACGAGATCTTGGGTTGCAATAACAAAGGGGCCTTAATAATCAGAATAGGGTTTGGGGGCCCACTATGCTATAATTACAATAAAGAGCCCCCAGAGTAATATAGATACTAGGGTTGAAGCTTTGTGGGATTTATGGCATTGGGCCGTGGAATGGGTTAAAGCTTTGAAGTTGTTTCTGATCTGTTGGTTAGTTTGCTGCCACCTCGGTGGACAGTTGACTGCGGTTCATAAGGGCGGTTCATGATGTCGGGCAAGGGAGCAAGCCCAAGAAGCAACAACATTGATGTGTTGAAGTTCCCGAAGAGGCAGAACAAAGCACAACACACATAGTATGCAAGGTTCGTAAGTCGGAAACCCTGAACCCTCAACTAAACTCTGAACTCTAACCTGAACCCGAATCCGAAACCCTCACGATACGAGTCATGGCACCTTGGGCTTGAATGGCTTCTAGAAACTTTGGCATTCCTAGTGCTGATGCACACTTCTTTGGTGGGATAGACCAGGGTCAGCAGCCTCCTTTGCTGATGTTCTGGGTCTCCAGTCCTAGTGCTCCTCCTAAGAATACGAGTGTCCCTAATCAGCCTCGATCTTGAGGCTAACGAAGTGTCTGATTGTGCTGGTTTGCTTTACTATGCTGCTGAAGATCCAACACCTGCGTCCACCGGGTGCCCTGAGGCTAAACTTTGGCCCCAAAGTACCTCTATAGCGACAATTTGAAGGCCAAAGTATACTTTTTGAGTACATGGACCTTAGGGTGTATGACATGTAACAGTATGGTGGATTTTGCAGAGTGTCTTCTTGTGCCTTAGGGAATCTCACCAACAAACCTGCAGCAACCAATCTGCCCGGAGCTCGGAGGAAACGCCACGCTGTAGGCGTAGACCTCCGAACCAAGCCCTGCCTCCCGGCGATACTGAAGCACGAGAGCCAGACCGTAGTGCAGCAGGGTTGTCCGCCGGTGCACTTTGACATCCCACCACTCCGGCATGAGCCGGTCGAGGGCCTCTCCTGCCATACCGAGTACTTGTGTCTGCGGAGCAGTCAGCCGGCTCTGCACATCTTCTGCCATGACCAGCTTTGTCATGATCTGGTAGCAGCGCCGGCTCACAAGCAGCTCCAGCTCTTCCATGGTCCGAAACATCTGCTGCATAAACGTCTCTCTGCTAAAACCTGCCGGGGCCTCGTTCGGGAGTTTAGGGTTTGGGGTCTAGAGCTTAGGCTTTAGGGTTTAGAGTTTAGGGTTTGGGGTGTAGAGTTTAGGGTTTGGGGTGCAGAGCTTAGGGTTTAGGGTTTGGGGTTTAGGGTATGCAATGAGGTCCCCCCCTCGCCGAACAACACTCCTAAACATCCTAAGTCGTACCTGGACCCTGCGGATCCCACCTTTCCTAGTGTATGACCCGAAGAGCGAGTCGAGATCGGCCCATATCGTAGGTTCCACACGGTCTTTTCTAGCAAAACATTGAAACCTACATCTAGGCTTAAACAAAATACTATTTTGATGATCCTTGTTACAATTGTAGTATGATGTACCGCAAAACGGTGTTCAAATTCTCAAGGCCACTATGTTAAAGCTTCATGCAATGCCCAGCAGCTCCTTCGCCTGTGGATTGAACTCTGCGGCCTGTCCAAACGGGTTTAGGTTGACCGCGAGAACTATCACGATTCTGGGCCGGAGCTATGCCATAATTGCCTTACCTCCGGATGATCTTGGCCTTATTCTGGGTACACTTGTGCCAACTTCTAAGGGTTTTTCCGCACACCAAGGCAGACCCCATGACCGAAACATCAAGATGTACATCCCGCCTGAGGTATACACCCGACCGCAGAATCATAAGTGTGGTACAGGAACTTGCTACAGGACACCACCAAGGTTTAAGGCTCGGGTCGAGGCATTCGGGTTTAGAGCTACTTGGTTTCGTACTCTCCCCCTCTCTCTCTCTCTCTCTCTCTCGCTCTCTCTCTCTCTCTCTCTCTCTCTCGCGCTCTCTCTTGTGCGCCATCCGGCGTGTGACCCCAGGACATCACCTTGTTGGCCTCGAACATTTGTTCGGCCGACTTCAAGGCGTCAGACCTACTTAGCTGTGGGCCCAAGCATGCTCAAGCCCTAAAACATGCGGGAGTTTCCGACAAAAAGGGGACCCTAGTATAGTACCCTAAATAGTAGGATCCTTATTATAAGGACCCCCAAAATAGGGTACCCCAATTTTTGGAAACTCCCATGTAAAGCAATCCAAGTTACCCGCCGCAACGACTGGCAAGAGGCCGAGGGCCACTTTCTCTGTAAAGAAGACTGTGAGAAAAATCCACAATTACACACACACAGGCCCAAAGACCTAGTCCTCGATACTCATGTCCACCAAAAACGCTTGCGCTTGAAAGGTCCAATGTTAATCCTCCGTGGTTCTTTGTATGTGGGTGGGGGCGAGCATGATCCGTTCCAGTGCTTTCTAAACTGCTGCCGACAGAATCTAACTTGAAAGGAACCCTGATTCTACACGACCTTTGCCCCCCACCCCCCAAACCTAAGACTTAACAACGTACGCCTATAAAAAAGGGCCCCGGAAGGCAAGCAATAACCGGCCTGGGGATTGAAATTCCAGGGCGCCGAGCTGTTTCCTGCAACTACCCAGCTTACGCTCTCGCAAGTCGGACTCGGCCAGACGAGGTCTGTCGGTTTAGGGTTTAGGGCTTATAGGGTTCAGGGATTCGGCGCTCACACTCGGACAATCCATGCGAGGCATATGAGTTCGCGTCTGCAAAGTGAAACAACACTACGGGGCTTCGTCACTACGTTTCAGCAACAAAGTTGAACAACACCTAAAGTGACCGTGCCAGGGTTTAGGGTTCGGGAGCCTCAAGTTTAGGAGATAGACCTTGAGCTGTGCAGGGATCCTTGTTATCATGAGCTAAAGTATGATTGTATGACGATCATTCTTTACCCAAAGAGCCCAATACCCTTAATTAAGCAGTATACCTTAAATTATAAGGGGCTTCATATTATGATTTAAGCTCTATTCCTTTCTTAAAGGGATATGGGGCTCTCTGGGTATCTAATTTAACTCATCTTGAAGCAGTCGCCAGGAGGCGGCCGAGTTTGTTCGACAAGCGCGATTTCGGGGTTGTCAGGTTCATATTGGGTGGTTGTCAAAATGAGGGTCCCTTTTTGGCTACCCTAAATATTCGGTGCCGTTCTCTATAAAGGGCCCAAAAAAAGATCCTGATTTTGACAACCACGCATATATGTAAGAGAGGAGTTTATGAGGTCTGAGTGCGTTTGTAGGAGCTCTGGGCTAAGGGTTGACAGTAAGCCCCATAAAGTTGGAAACTAGACTAAGGCCCAATAGTGCTGGGATTCCCTTTACATGGCTCTTCAGGATTCAAGCTATGAGACCCTCAACTCCTCAACATGGGGTTTCCACACTTTTGGGCTTTTACTGTAGATCTGCCGCGGCCAAGTTACAAGAGACTCTCAAGATTAGCAAGCTGCCCCCTGTTTGACAGCTAAGTGAAGTCATGCATGGCATACTTGAGGGATTGTGTGACTTAGCAACTAGGCTTATAAGGTAAGGTAGCTATAGCTATACATGCTTACCACCCAGGTTGAGATACTTAGAACCCTTCTTATTACCGATACGCCAAGTAGTGGTTCACACTCCTTGCTCATCAGGTAGCCTGGATAGAAGGGGTGGGGCTTCTAAAGGGTGGCATAAGTTGAAGGCTTGGGACAACGGCACCCCATGAGCTTTAGACAAGCCTTCCATGCCACCCATCTCGTTCACTTCCACGGCGACCCACTGTCCGTATTCATAGTCATAGTCTTCGCCGCCTGGAAACAAGGACCTATTGCCAAACCGGTACCCCCATCTGATCTGATCTGCGAATCCAAAGTTCTGGACGGACATAATCTGACAGCACTTGTAACACAGAACCGACATCACTTCTGTTGCAAATATGGCTATTGCAGTAGACGCCAGAAAATTGGAGCATCCTTGTCCTCATGCCTGTAAGATAAAGTTTGGGCAATCCTAGCACTAAGCATCCCAAACCCATGTGGTTCACCGTAATGTTACATGTCATACACCCGAAGGGTCCTGTACTCAAGTCGTATATACTTTGGCCTTAAAGTAGTCCCTGTATAGGTACTTTGGGGCCAAAGTACGTACTAATTGGGTACTTGGAGGGTCGGGGGACTTAGCAACTGGTTATTTTAGGGACTTATAAGTACCATAACCCCGAGTCCCTTTTCGGGTATACTAAGTCCCCACGACCCTCCAAGTACATGCACCCTTCGCGATAAGACACAGACGCAAAGCTCCCAGGCCGCACATGTCATGCTCAACCTAGCAAGCACTGCATGCCCGGGGGCCTTTGGGATGAAGGGTTTACTAGGGTTTAGGGCTCTGGGTTTAGGAATTAGGGTTTAGGAATGTTCAGGATTTTGGGTTCCAGGGGGTTAGTATTTAGGGCTTAGGGTTGTAGGGCTTGCGGTCCTGGGTCGCGGGTTTAGAATAGCTGCCTTCGAGATGCTCGATGCACGACCCCTGGTAATTCCTCCATCCTCCTCATCCAGAAACCTGGTTGAAAAGGTCTGAAATAGCAGGATCCATCTTCAGAATCCCAATGAAAACGATGGGCTTCATGGCAAAAATCCCATGTTTGCCCTGATAGAACCGGTCGATACATAAAGCCCCTCTATAAGCACATGAAGTCCTTCCAGAAACCTTTCCAGAGCCCTACATGGAAACCCATGAAAACCCTGGTGGCCTTGCATGCCCCAGTCGTTCCAAGCTGGCGGTGCATCGAAGTACACCGGACCATCCGGCACGGGGCGCTCCCAGTTGCTGACCTTGTAACACAGCATCCGGTGCTGGGGATTCGCGGGGGGGGGGGGGGGTTAAGGCTTTTGGCATTTATGGTTCAGGGAAACCGGGCTTTGAGGAGATACGGCTTCTCGGGTTTATAGCAGTTGGGGGGTGGGGGCTTCAGGGATACATGTGTGTCATTCGTGTGGAATGAGACTGGAAAGTAAAGCAGGAAATCCAGCTTCTTCGCAGAAGCCTTGGCAGGCCAACCTATGCTCGACGGTCTGTGATGGAAAGGAGTATCCTGGCCAATGCCACCATGACTAGCTGCAGTGTGTGTATATATATATATATATATGTATATATATATATATATGTATGTCTACATATGTACATACAACATTATCTACCCGAAGCTTGGCGATGCCTGCAGAGTCCACGCAGGGCACCTTCGAGACTTATGAGCAAAGACTGTCGTCATCCAGAGTTCTTAGTAGCCACAAAGGAACATCCAGAGCTCGTTTGCAGGCGGGGGGCCCTACCATCTTCTGCAGCCCAAGTGAGCGACTCCATGTTGCTGTCCTCCTCTACTAGAGAGCCATTTCCTGGATTGACAAGGGTGTGGACGGTGTAGCATGCACTGTATTAGGGCTTATTGGGGGGCCTCTCTCTCTCTCTCTCTCTCGCCCCCTCTCTCTCTCTCTCTCTTTCTTTCTCTCTCTCTCTCTCTCTGTCTCGCTCGCGCCCTCAAACGAACGACAGGTTAACACTCGAAGACAAGAAATGAGCATGGAGAGGGTGTTTCTTGCACATTCTAGATTGAAGGTTTGACACTTGACTGGGCCACTGGCCACCCAACCTTCCCTGTACTCAAGGTCGTTTCAATACCACCACTGTAGCTTGACACTCGCATCAAGCCACTCCCAGAAGCACTTTTTCACTTCGCCATAACATGCTGGTCTTCGCAACATGCATCCGGCAACCCTAAACCCTAAACTGTTAAACCCTTGACCCTAAAGTCCAAAACAACTCTTCAGCTTCCTCAGATGGTAAAATCTCAAAGACTCGATGGTGCACATGAAGGTCGCTGACAGGGGGTCTGAAGTTCTTGTGTGTAATCGGCAATGCTCGCCACATGCTACTCTATGGGCATTACACCACAAGCGCAGGCATTCAGTCGCGTCTGGATACACTTTCGTCCAGAGCAACTTCGCCCTCGGTTAATGCATGCAGAACGGAACGCCTTCGGCGGAAGCAGGTTTTCTCACATTTTCAAAAGTGTGGTGGGTGCCTAACCTCATCTCCGGAGATAGGACCTCAAAATCTCTCCCAGTCCGATGGCAAGTGCATCTTTTCGGGAGCCACTGTAGCCGGGACCTGGGTTCTTGTTAGGGGATTTACCGTAAGTTACCAGAAAAAGTAAACCATACTATTTACTGCAGATCCCTTTTGAACCCAGGCTCTACTCCGCATCAGCTGGGAATCGGCAGCTATAGATTCCTATTATGGTAACTCAATTTAAGTTGGCTGTTAAGGGGTGGCTTTTGTGGCTTTTAATTAAAAATTCAATTCCTTAACAAGAACCCAGGAACTGGAAGATCAGCACAATCCGAGGTCGAAGCGATTCCGGCTGCTGGGCCGTTGGTCAGCGCAGCCACCATATCGGAGATGTCGGCCGTGCATAGTGCCTGTGCAGCTTCGGATCTGTTTTAGATCGATTAGCTCTTGCAATATGAACCCTGTTCAAGAAACACTTAAGGCAGGGATCTGTCCCAGATAGTGGCAGAGTTGAAGACGGAATACGAATATCAGCTGGCTGTTCTTTACAGGGTCTCTGTTTGCAGGACGCAGCCAAACACAAAGAGCCTCTACACTAATACGGGGGAATCTTGGTATCCTGCTACCAGGTTCAGAATTAATTGGGGTTAAAATTCAGGCTGTTTAGCTCAGTACGAACGCTGCTGCTGCGGACATAAGGGTCCATCCTACAAGCCCTCAACGTCCAACTAACCAAGACCGAAACAAAATCCCAGACCGGCACTCTACGCCTCTAGGCCTGAGCTATGTCGCAGAATTCCCCATATCTAAACCCCCAAAAGTAAGTAAAATATTGGCCCAACACCTCTAAAAGGCCATTATTCTACATACTTTTGGGGTCCAGGTATATTCAACTCAGCCGATCTGAGCCGCCCAACCTCCCTGGCTGCTTTCGCCTCTCACAAGTCTCGAGACATCCCCCAGAAACTAGCACAACATGTATGCAATTTACTCAAGATCGAAACTAATTCTGGAAGGGCGGAGTGATGCGTGGGGATTCTACGATTGGGGGGGGGGGGGGGGGGTAGACGCATCATGCATGGAGCTAACCCTAAGGGTCCATGTGCCCATATAGCATATACTTTGGGCCCAATGTACCTATATAGGGAGTACTTTAAGGCCAATGTATATACTATATGAGTACATGGACCCTTATACCCTAAACCCTTATCGAACCCTTATAGATCCCTGAAAGGACCCCTTATGCTACCCTTAAAGGACCCTTCTCGCTAAGCGAGAAGAGCAGAGCATGCCGGAAGCCTTCTGGTCGGCGCCCACTTGGCAGTCCGAAACCGCCAGGGCCGTGAACTGTGAAATCCAAGCGAAGGATGAAATGATGTTCATGATGTTGATCGCGCAGGCCTCTAGGTTCTTGTCAAGGGGTTTATATATTAAGCTACCATAGTAGGGTTCTATACTAACTAATATAACGTTCCCTTAAGGGTTCTTGTTAAGCGATTTGTTTTTATGTTACCATGGCAAGGATCTATAGTAAATAATGTGGGTCCTTATTAGGGTAACTTGAGTTAAACCCCTTAAAAACCAGGCCTTTGGTTCTGGACAGGCGCTCGCCGTGGACCGGATTTGGAGGACGGCGCGGACGATGTAGGAAGCCGCGTTTGGTGACATCGGCGACGCACTGGGCGATGTCGAAACCACGATTACGCTGTTGGTCCTTATGGCCTTTGATCTTCAAGGCCTTCTCAACCTTAGGTGAAGCTCCTGCTGGGACGAATTGCCTCCAGGGAGGGGAGATCACCGTTGGCCTGGTGAGGATCGTGAGGACGTTCTTGCCGAAGTTGCAGTCCGCCCTGGCAGCGGCGCCCACGGTGGCGATCTCGCCGAAGTTGGCCATCAATGCGGTGAAATCACCAGCACACAACGCACCGTTGTTGACAGCCTGGCCGCAGGCGTTCGCCGCAAAGGACAGGTACGACGCGATCCAGCTGATAGAAGTGATGAACCCCGCCACGCTGGCTGCACAGCCCACGGGTTTATTGTTGGGGCACTCCAAGCCATCGTAATCGATCGATTTGTAGAGGAAGACAATGGCCTGGTCGAGATATGCAGCAGCTTGAACGACGTCAATGACGCATTCCGTGCGAATCCATGGGACTTCCTCTGGTTGCGACTCGTAGAACAAGTCCTGCAAGTTGCGCAGTGGCTTGTCGTGCTTAAGGCTCTGGGCCTTCAGGATCACCTTGTCAATGCCGGGAATGTCCTCCCAGTGGGACACCTCAGTATCGAAGATGATGTTCTTCGGAGAGGAGATACCCAGGGTTTCCGGAGCCGTCTTTGCGACAACGCCAGCGACGAGGAGAAGAGCCGCAGCTGCACCGGCGAAGTACCAACGGGAGCGTGACTTGCGCGGCGTCTCGATCCGCAAGAAGCCTTCTGTCTCCATTTCCGAGGCTTCCTCTGCGTGCGGCATTGCCGAGTTCATGGTCGGGATAGCATTGACAATGCAAATTTGTATTCCTTGTTGAGTTTAGGTACCCATAGAAATGTAACATGTTTCCCAGCTACGACAAAGATTGGGGTGGCGGGGTGGCGGCGTGGACTCGGAGCTCCGAAACGGAATGCTGCGGTGCTATAGCAGCTTCAACCACTGTGCGCGATTTCCGGTGTCGAGGGGCTGGCAAGCTTCAGGACTTCCTAGAAACGGCAAGAAAAGCGAACGCAACTGGGACAAGAGTACCCAGCGCCGCGCAGGCTCTTTTCGCTCTGCCTTTGCATGCTGATACTTCGCAACATGCATACGACAAGTCAAAGCCTCTTTAGGGCTCAACCATGAGATGTCAGAGGACCGTTTATACACAGATGAGGGTCGTTGGCATTCTGGTCTACAGCCGTACATTGTCTGATGAAACGCAAGTAATAGCGCATGGAACACCGTTAAGAGACACATATATGCTAACACGGGCACTCATGTTGCCACATGTCGCCGCTGGATACATTTCCTCCAGAGCAACTTCGCCCTCGACCAATGCATGCAGAATGGCACACCCTCGCACATTGTAGAGCCCTCCCTTCTAGAACCCTAGCCCTAGTTAACCGTCACTGCACCGTGAGCGCTATAGACCCCAACAGCTCGCTTAAGTCCAAACAGACAAAACCCCAACACCTGGGGTCGGAAAGGTGGAGCGTGCCCTTTGCGATGCATTGGTTGTGCAACGGCCTGGTGCCTGAACCCCACGTCCGGAGCTAGCATTCAGTCCTCCAAGTTCGAAGCCTAAACCCTAACGAGAAGCACGTGACAAAGACAGTTGCACGAAGGAAAGGGCTCCTGGACATCTGGTGTCCAGGCAAGGCACCTTCTCGCAGTTCACACCTAGTCAATTGACAATCCTAAAGTGTCTTGAGTACTTTTAGCGGGGATACGAACCCATGCGGTGATAGCAAGTCATACCGAAGCCTTACTGTTGTCATAGCACATAGCAAGCTGTACGACAGAAACCCTACTGATGAATACCTATCCAGAGCAAAACTTAAAACCCCTATCAAAACCTCTATATCTCCTCAGACATCAGCGCAATCAGAGGTTGAGGCGATCCCTGCCGCGGGGCCGTTGGTCAGGGCCTGAACTGTTCGCACCCCCCGTTTGAGGAGGGTAGGTTGGTTGACATAAGCGCATAGCAGGTTTAGGGATGTTTAAAGGCTTATAAGACCTTTTATATATCTTTATGAGAGAAGCCCAAAACGGCCAAAGGACGGCCACCATGTCGGAGATGTCGGCTGCACAGAGCGCCTCTGGATGTTCTTTAGGGTTGATGGATTCTGCGGTGGTTTCGGGTGCACGGATTTGGTGTTTATGGCGGGGCTGGTCGATATTGGATCATAATTCGATCTCGGTTTCGACATTTGAGAAGCTCAGCGACGACCTTACACAATGACTGACACAACATCCGTCCGGAATCCGGGGCACCCTGCGGCTGGAGTCGCACAACTAACTATATGGGCCTACTATGGCCAAGTGCTACTAGCACTTCAGTGTCACTATAGGCATAGTAACAATGGCGCTCGCCAGGGTTCAAGAGAACTTATCGCTTCCCCCTGAGTAATTAATATGAAGCTGCCCTAGTATATAAACCTCCGGCTCCCGAAATTTTGCTGTATCGGGCCCCCAATGGAACGCTAATCAAAATAGGGGGGGAAGGATTCGGCTAGGGTTGTAATTACTAGTTTGAATAGAGCCAAGACTACAGTAGCACTAAACCGAAAGGACCAGGAGTTTAGGGCTTAAGGTTTAAGGCTTTAGTCTGCCTACAGCCGGCAGGGTCGCGTGATTGCCGGTCGTTGTGCCCCTAATTATTTACTTGGCTGACTACCTTGCTCATTGTTACTGTCAATCCGACTCATGCCCGGATGCCCGACACCCTCCCAAACATCATAATCTCGGCCCCGAAATCAGGTGTTCATATTAAATGTAGGGGGAGGCGGGGGCCCTTTAATGTTAGGGGGAAGCGATTATCGGGGTCACAGTCAAGGATGTCATGGGCTCAGATCGCAGTGCAATTGCGTTATCGCTGTGTGTGCTGCATTGCGATGCCAACAACAAATGACTTGAGTCAACCCCCCACCCTCCCTCCCTCCCTTCCTCCTCCCAAAGGCTCTATGTACCCATATAGTAGGTACTTATAGGCCATAAAGTACATGGAGCCTTTGGGCCTCACATGGCCACCCCTCCCTTCCTCCTCCTAAACCCTAAACCCTACACCCTAAACCCTAAACCCCTAAGCCACCCCAACTACACATGCCGCGCCTTCTGGTCCGCGCCGACCTGACAGTCCGAAACCGCCAGGGCCGTGAACTGCGAAATCCAAGCATAGGATGAGATGACGTTCATGATGTTGATCGCGCAGGCCTCTGGGTTCTTGTTAAGGGGTTTATATATTAAGCTACCATAGTAGGGTTCTATACTAACTAATATAACGTTCATGATGTTGATCGCGCAGGCCTCTGGGTTCTTGTTGAGCGATTTGTTTTTATGTTACCATGGCAAGGATCTATAGTAAATAATGTGGGCCCTTATTGTGGTAACTTGAGTTAAACCCCTTCAAAACCAGGCCTTTGGTTCTGGACAGGCGCTCGCCGCGGACCGGATTTGGAGGATGGCGCGGACGATGTAGGAAGCCGCGTTGGTGACATCGGCGGCGCATTGGGCGATGTCGAAACCACGATTACGCTGTTGGTCCTTATGGCCTTTGATCTTCAAGGCCTTCTCAACCTTAGGTGAAGCTCCTGCTGGGACGAATTGCTTCCAGGGAGGGGAGATCACCGTTGGCCTGGTGAGGATCGTGAGGGCGTTCTTGCCGAAGTCGCAGTCCGCCCTGGCAGCGGCGCCCACGGTGGCGATCTCGCCGAAGTTGGCCATCAATGCGGTGAAATCACCAGCACACAACGCACCGTTGTTGACAGCCTGGCCGCAGGCGTTCGCCGCAAAGGACAGGTACGACGCGATCCAGCTGATAGAAGTGATGAACCCCGCCACGCTGGCTGCACAGCCCACGGGTGAATTGTTGGGGCACTCCAAGCCATCGTAATCGATCGATTTGTAGAGGAAGACAATGGCCTGGTCGAGATATGCAGCAGCTTGAACGACGTCAATGACGCATTCCGTGCGAATCCATGGGACTTCCTCTGGTTGCGACTCGTAGAACAAGTCCTGCAAGTTGCGCAGTGGCTTGTCGTGCTTAAGGCTCTGGGCCTTCAGGATCACCTTGTCAATGCCGGGAATGTCCTCCCAGTGGGACACCTCAGTATCGAAGATGATGTTCTTCGGAGAGGAGATACCCAAGGTTTCCGGAGCCGTCTTTGCGACAACGCCAGCGACGAGGAGAAGAGCCGCAGCCGCACCGGCGAAGTACCAACGGGAGCGTGACTTGCGCGGCGTCTCGATCCGCAAGAAGCCTTCTGTCTCCATTTCCGAGGCTTCCTCTGTGTGCGGCATTGGGGCGGGGTCACGGCGCGGGATCGGAGCTACGAGACGGAATGCTGCAGCCACACTCTGCGAGTTTCGGTGCCGGCTGCGACCCAGCAAAAACCCACCTCCTGAAAAGCACCGTAAACCCTAAACCCCTAAACCCTATATATATATATATATATATATATATATACATATATATATATATGTATATGTATATATAATACATATAACCTTCATATTCCCAACATGGAGCAAATAAGCCCTAAAACTCAAAAAACTGCCTGAGGGGTTAGGCTGAAAACCTTGAGGCTTCGAGCGCCTCAGCGAGACGGCTTCGACCAGGCCAGACCGAAGCTAGGAATGACTGCTTGGAGGGTCGGGGGACGGGATTCTAAGGGTTCCTTTGAAGGGCCCTATAAGGGTAGTATAGGGTTTAGGGTTCAGGGACTTAGTAAGTAGGTAGTAAGTAGACTTATAACTACCCTAAAAGGGACCCTAATTGGGGTTATGGTACTTAGAAGTCCCTAAAATAACCAGATACTAAGTCCCCCGACCCTCCATGTGGAGGGTTTAGGGTTTCGGCGCTCACACTCGGACAATCCAGGCGAGGCATATGGTTCGGAGCCTGCGAAGTAAAACTACACAAAGAGGGTTTAGGGTTTAGGGGTTTAGGGTGTGCATAAAAAGTAGCCTTCGAGTAGGGAGAGCGAATATCCTTGCGACTTCTTCAGGTCCCTGTAATACCAGTATGATATCAGCTTGAGCTTCCACATCTTATTTGGGCGGACTAAATGGCAAGCACTTCACTCTGAGAGATCTGGACTCCATAAGGAACCATGATTGGGTTAGGCTCACTGTTTAGATTTGCTGTTGCCTCCAAAACCCAAACCCTTATACACCCTGAACCACCTAAACCCCTAAATCCCAAGACCCTACACCTCTAAGCTGCGAAACCCCTATAAAGCCTACCCCGCCACCCCCCCCTCCAGAAACCAACCCAAAAAGTCTCAAAGCCCCTCTCCCTCTCCCACGTCCGCTAGTTCTTGCCAGTTAGGCTCCACATCTCCACTGCTGCCACCGATCCAGGGAGATCGTAAATCGCTTGTCCTAGGAGGCGGCTTAGGGTGTAGGGTTTAGGGGTTTAGGGCTTAGGGTTTAAGAGTCGACTACCTTATATGAACCCCAAAAGTTGAAAAGTTGAGCTTACAGCCAAAAGTAGCTTAGCGGCCCCTGGTACCCCAGCCCCCTTAAAAAGGCTAACATGTACAATTATGGTATGGCCATATATATATATAATATATATATAATATATATATATATATATATATTTTTATTACTATAAGCCCCGAAAGGTTAAAGGTTACCTACCCAGCTACTAAGCTAAGCTGGCTGCTACAACTGATGCTTCTACCAGCCGGGTTACTATAAGGCGAGTAACAATGGGGACGAGTAACAATGGGGACTAATAAGCGCGCTGGGCAAAGGCGTCGCGCCTAGACGACGCAGAGTGACAATTGTAGCTCCTTGGTTGGTTAGATAAGCTTATATACGCTGGGACCTAAAGCATCGAGTTGGATGACAAACCAAAAGGCTACAATGAACATGCTCATACTACATTTCGCCTGCGTTATAGGGCGCCACGTAGTTGCTGAAATTATTGAGAGCTTCGATTCGATAAGATAAACAATGAAGTTGAGTTGCGGGTTCACCCGCCCAGCTGACAGAGTCGCAGGCTTAGAGTTTAGGATACGGGAGTACTACTGTTGATGATATAAATCCTGCATTACCTTAAGGCCCCTTAACTATGGGAATTGTGGTAGATTCCTTATTATGGGGAATGCAGGGTTTATATCGAAGGCTGTCTGGTGTCCCATGTTGCCGTCAAGAAGCCTTACTACGCCATGATCTTTTACGTCGGATTTCGGTGTGTTTTCCTGCGACCACTGCGCGACTGTATTACCCCCATTGCTGAGTCCCTTCGCCCTAAAATAGTGAACCTGTTGCTATCTATAAGAGGTTGGCTCTCTACTGGCTGCGTGAGATCACGGATGGGACAAACTTAAACCACATCTCCATCATGGTTATGGTAGCAACGAGCAAGGCGGGAAAAAAAGAAACCCTAAACCCTAAACCCTACTAAACCCTAAACTGAGGCAGCTGCTGGCAACCCCATCTTCTGCAGGCTCGCCGTGAAAGCCATTTGAGGCTGCCCTCGGTATCTGCACGATCCGAAGTGATTATAAAGTTGGGTTTAGGGTTTAGGGTTTAGGGATGTTTAGGAACTGGCCAGCATCCAGGGGATGCTTTATTGTCTGATTCATTGGCACGGTGGTTACAGTGTATGCACACAAGCAGCTGTTCATCTCTGTGAGCTGTGTTGTGCTATCTTAGGTTGCGCTCACTTGGATGCTTCTTTTATTTCTTTAGTGCAAACTCATTCGCATAACATCCTTCCCAAGCTCTTTCCCAGTTTCTCCTTCTGCTTGGCTTGTCTCCGCACTATCTCCCAGATATCAGGCTTTGGGCATCGAAAAAGTAAAGGGCGGCATTCAACACTCTCTGTTCAGCGAAATCGCTTTGCGGGTGACTCCTGAACCTGTTTCAGCGGCCTTCAAAATTGGAACAAGGTTTGGGGGCAAGTTGTACTGTACTTATACTAAGGAAAAGCACGGAGTCGTCTTGAGCTATTCTGCGTTCTGTTTCTGCATCTGCGGCTCCTGCATGCACAGCCGCACTTCCCTTCGCATCAAAACAACATCGAAAAGACACGGCAGCATCAAGTTATCCTTGTTGAACCCAGGCTCTTTGCCATCTGAACCCTGCCAAGCTATGATCCTGTGCAGCTGGGAAGTTGAACTCTAAACCCTAAACCCCAAGGATGCAGGCGAGCACATGTCAACTTAGTCGCACCAGCCGGGTTTTGTTTCAAGGCAAGGGTTTAGGACCCTACAACCAACCAACCCTACTATTTGTAGTAAGGGTTTTTGCTTGATTTCGGACCGTCCTGCTCTCGATCTCTTCTTTGCGACTGCTAATGTCGCTGTTTGGCTAAAGCATTCACAACTGCATTCAGTTCGACACCCGCTGGATAGTGAAGAAAGCATGCCTTTGCTGAAGGAAATTCGCACAAGCTTGGCGATATAGGACAGGCTAACATGGAGGCGAACCAGGGGTGGTATGCTCTTCTTAATGTCGTTTGGCAATAGCCTGTGGGCCAGCGTCTAAGGTTTATCGGTCATGCATCTGAACTGTACGGTCCTGAAAACCGAACCATGAACCCCAAACCCCACAAAGCTTCTTGCCATAACGGAATGCTGGCGGGAAGCGGCCATTTTGCCGCCGGCCACGGCGACCAACAAACTTCTGCGATGCAGGAGTCACAACCTGTTCCCCCGGCCTACTCCGAAGGTTTAGGGTTCGACATGGTTTAGCTTTCACTAATTACTGACTATCACCACCAAGGCCACAGCAGAAACTGGAATTGCTACAGCTACTTCGGATGCAACTACTTGTTACACTGCTGACTGCTGGCAGTGGTGCGAATAGTAGTTAATAGTAATGGGTGTGCTACCTGGCGTATAGTAGAGACTAGTCGGACTGCTACTACTGGTATTTCTATTTCTGCGACGACGACTACCACATGCACTGCCACTGAAAGGTCAGGACCAGCACCACTAGCACCACTACTATCACCACTTCTACTACCACGACCAATACTACTTCCTGCACGTACTCCTACCAACACTACCGAGCTACGAGTGAAGTTCATAGTTTGAGCAGCAGGCAGTTGGCAAAAAGATGCGTTCCCATCATGACTGCCTGAAGCTTTCAGCCGCCTTCTGAAGTACATCGTACCTGGTTTCCTTCGGCTCAGCATTGGGAATGCCACTGTTCAGCTCGAGCATGCCTTAAGGTAGCCCTTAGACTGGACTACTGACAACTGATACTGTCTTTGCCTATGTGTCCACAGGGGCGCTCTTCTGGCTATTGCTGCCCTGAAGCTTGTGGCAAGAAAGGAAACCCGCATAAAACAAACAAGCACATGGCACTCGGAATCTGCACCACTAACACAAATACATGTTTATCTGGCAAGCACTGTGGTGCGTAGACCAAATGTAGTTGCAACATCCTAAGCGTAACGACCATATCACTTGCTGATAGCGGATGCACTTATCGGCACTTGTACACTGGCATACACCACGCCAGCACCAAGAAAACCTGGTGCCACAATGGTACTCGGCTGCCAGGCAGCAAGGCTTGATCAGTCATGCATGCATTCTAACACATCAGGTGCTCCAACACCGCCGTTAGTGATCGTGCTGCATGTAGGTAGGCTCAGTGACTCGAGCTAACCATGAAGCCTCGTATGAACAGGTCGGTTGTCGTCAGATCTAGATTTGAGGTCAGAACTGCGAACATGCCCAAGGAGAGAGACGTCCTTTTAAGCCAAGTTTCCGAGCAAATCTGTCGTTCCAAGTTCGTGCGAAGTTTGCAATCTTGCCTGTGGCTTTCTTGTTGTAGTGTGACAGTTATCGTCGAAATTATCAGGTGCAGGCTGGAAGCTATCCGGTGGCCAAGGTTGTCCAGCCATTCTCCAAGGAAATACCTGCGAATCATGACACACAGCTCCAGACCCCAACTCTTGGCAGGACATCCCCCAAGACACGAAGATCACATACTCAGAATGGTGAGGCGACAACCCGAATCCCAAACCCCTGAACTCTCGCCACGAACATTTAACAAACCCGTGACAGGCGAGCACACTCCTGCACTCACGACCGATCCAAACAAGTACCAGAAGTCTCTTTAGCGGCCAAGTCTCTGCGGGTCGAAGCCCTCCTTCTCCTCACCTTAGCAATGCAATAGTAGTAGTAGTAGTAGTAGTAGTAGTAGTAGTAGTAGTAGTAGTAGTAGTAGTAGTAGTAGTAGTAGTAGTACTAGTAGTAGTAGTAGTAGTAGTAGTAGTAGCAGCAGCAGCAGTAGGATGCCGAGGAGGAGGAGGAGGAGGGGTTGAGGAGGAGCACCAAGCCGCGATGTTGATGATAGTAGTGATGGTGGCGCTGTCGGTGTTAGTGGCGGTGGCGGTGGTGGTCGTCGTCGTCATGTTCGTGCATATTTAATGGAATACTAGTCGTCGTCGTTGTCGCTATCCTCGTCCTTCGTTAAATTATGTTCTTGTCACAGTGCCTACTACCATTGTTACTTGATGTCATCGTCGCCATCGTGAATATTGTTGTTGCTGCCGTGGTGGTGGCGGCAGTTCTTGTTGCTCTTGTTGCGCTGCAACAGCAACACCATCAAACGACATGCACTGCCGCTGCCAGGTCTACTGCTGCCCTTGCGACACAGAATGCGGGCACTTATCGATGACTCGTGCTGCTGAACCGTTTAACTTCACGAACATGAAGGTCAGAAACCCTTCGCACAGAAAGCCCCACCCCCCCATCCCCCTGAGTAGCTGATTACCTATAGTCTCCATTGTAGCTCCTTTTTGGGGTTGCCTTATGGGATCCTGAATATATAATAGGCTAAACCAAAAAAAGGAACTACAATGGAGACTATAGGTACCATACCCTATACCCTAAACCCTAAGGATCCCTTATAGGCCCTTTAAAGGGACCCTAAACCCTTATAGGTAAACCCTAAAAGGCACCTAAACCCTGTCCTGACAGACTGAAAGAAGCCTCGCCCTTGAGGCGCAGACTGGCAGGTGCCGGCGCAGGGGCTCCGTCATCCGAAAGCTCCGTCTGTCAGGGTCCCCAGAGACTCCAAGATCCCTTAATTCGGGAATATACCTTACATCATATAGGGGATCCTACCATATTTTTAAGGTATATTCCTTGATTAAGGGATATTGGAGTCTCTGGGTCCGGGCGGCTGCGGGGGCTGGATGGTGGCGGGGCCTCGGTTTCTATGTCCCATGTAACCCTGCTTGTCAATCGAAGTTTACTTAACACAAGGGCCTTAATAAATTGACTCTAGTCTGCCGCAAACCTGCAATAAGGAGCATTACCTAAAAGGCTCCTAAGTAGCTACATAGTCGAAAGTAGGGTTTTTACAGTTGGAAATACGATCATGTTTTGGGTAAGTATCCGCTTTAGGTACGTACTTACGACCCTATGGGCGGATAATAGCTTGGCCGACTTCGGACCCCCACCTACCGAAGAACGCCAACATACGGTTGATGGTATAACCCCTGCATCACCCACACAAAGGAATATACCATAACTCCCACAGATTAGGGTCCTTAAGGTAATGCAGGATATTTATCATCAATCCTAAACCCTAAACCCTAAAACCCTATAAATCCCTTAAAAAGAACCCCTTTTAAGGTACCCTTATAGATCCCTGTAAAGAAACCCTACGAACAGCATTATCAACAATAGTATTGCAATTTGTTCAGGCTTCGCCTTTTTGTCTGTCGGGGCCTTTGCCCGTGCCAGGCTCGACAGGTCTGTGTCTCGAAAGATCCAGAGAGCCCAATACCCCTTAATTATTGAATGTGCCTTGAATCTTCGGGGCCTTAAAAAAGACCTTAGTACCATAAATCGTATTTAATACGATGGTATTCAGGTACATACTCGTTAATCAAGGGGTATTGGGCTTTCTGGGGAATTCACACACGTGTCATCCTAAACACTGTTACGCAGCAGTGCGGGCATCTGGGACTGAGCTCCCTATACCCAGGAACGTAGAGTGCCGAGTTGCACTGCATGTGATAAAGATCCTTTGAGTTCTTCAAAGTATGGCATCATGGTTTGCGCATGCGGGCTTCCGGAATGGTTCGGAGCCTTCACGATTGCAAGCCGCCTTCCTAAGCAATACGAGAAGTCTACGAAGTACGAGAGAGGCAACTGGAAGCAGGGTGCCACGAGGCCACTTTTTAGCGCTTGCTTTACTTGTCTGTCACTGTCGACATGTATATGCAACTGTACTACTGTAAACTGTAGATGTTTCGGAAATGTGACAAACCAAGGTGTTCAAAGTCGCGATGACCGCGATGAACAGAATCCGGGTTCTTGTAGGGAATTTGCCTTAAGCTGCCATAATAGGGATCTATGTCCAATAATCGGGTTTCCATGTTGTGGTACCTTAAATAGAACTCTTTACAACGATCCGAGTAGTGGAGATCATGATGGCGAGGATGATGCCAAGAGCACGCGACGTCAGCAGAAGAGCAAACACTAGCTGAACCCCCAAACCCTAAGGCTAAGCTCTAAATCTTACACCACAAGCCCTACCAGCACACCGGGAACGTTCAATAGGAGGTCCAAAAATAGAATCCTACATCCTCCTTACGAAGTGATAAGGCCCTAGCAAAGTATATGCAGTTCCAAAACAAATGACTTAAAACCCAAACACTGCAACCCTGAATCCCAGCAAAACGCCCTTAAAGAAGGCACGGAAAACTGCACCTGCTCAGCCCAGCTCTTGCGCACGGGCTTCCAGCCACCGTCAAGGCTCCAATTCTCGGCGCCTGTTCCCACGGCTCGACTGGCTGAGTTTCTTGTTATTTGGGTTGGGGGTTCCAGATTTCCCGTTGAAGTCGCAGACGGTGCGCTGCGAAAAATTAGCTAAGACCCTGTAAAGGCAGTAGAGTGAGGGCTCGGAGCATAAAGGATCTACCGGCCCTCGAGGCTCCTTCAGGATCTACTTGGAAGGGCAGGGGACTTAGTAAGTAAGGTTATAAGTAGGTTATAATTAGGATCACCCCACTTAGGGGACTTATAACCCCAATTATAACCTACTTACTAAGTCCCCCGACCCTCCAAGTAGAGGACCTTGAGGCTCAAATCTCAAAGGGATTGTAACTGGGGAATCCAGGCATTATACTCAGGGGGCTGAGTACCCTAGCCCCAAAAAGGCTAACCTTTTCAATTATAGTAGGGTTATCTAAGTTATCTAAGCCCCAAAAGGTTAAAAGGTTACCTACTCAGCCCCTAAGTATAGGACTTGGGGACCACTTCGAAGCCTTATACTCTCCGGACTGGCTCTTTGTCTGAAACGGAAGGAGCCGCAGAACGTTCACACTTTTGGAGGATAGTTACTTTGCCGGTGCGGGAATCCTGAATCTGTGGCTATTCAATCCCAACTTCTGCATGGGCAACGGCAGCGGCAGGGAGAAGGGAGGGACAAAAAAACATGACAGCCTTGTCCAGTTTCCCCGGGGAACTGAAGGATAACTTTTGGGATGGTATACTCTCTCTCTCTCTCTCTCTATATATATATATATATGTATATATATATTATAGTACGCCAGCGAGGCTGAAGGTTGGTATTACATACCTGCTCTACTACAAAGAACAAAACGCCGGCGAGCCTTCTGCTGGTGGCGCAGGGTTCACAGCCAGGTTCGGTGACCTGGGTAGCATCGGGGCTATCGGCCTTGAAGCATGGAGATTCGTAGTGTAGGCTTTCAAGAAGAGCCGCAGCAAGCAATACTAATGCAGGACCAAGGTGTATATGTTTGAATGTCCGCAAGAGCCTGCAGATCAACAGCCCTCACTTCCCAAAGACTCCGATATCCCTTAATTTGAGGAAGGTACCTTAAATCATACAAGGGATCCTGCTATATTTTAACGTATATTCCTTGATCAAGGGATGTTGGAGTCTCGGGGTTGTTGGAGCCATATATGCCCATCCCAACAATGCAATCGCCGGTCTCTGCAATCCTAAACCCTAAACCCCTAAACCCTCAAACCCTGAACCCCTAAACCCAAAACCCCAAAACCCTAAACCCTAAACCCCTAAACCCTAAACCCCAAACCCCGAAACCCTAAACCCCTAAGAACCATTAAGAAGCTGCCAGACATGGAGCACAGAGCTTTGGTTGGAACGGCCCTTGTTGCTGCCTCGGATAAGCTTGAACTTGCCATTAGAGGGTTCCTTTAAAGGGGTCTATAAGGGCTCCTATAAGGGATCTATGGTAAGGGCAGGGCTCCTATAAGGGATCTATAATAAGGGTACTCTAATAGTGCAGGATACTATACTAGTGTAGGAACCTGATTAAGAAACCTTGGGTTACAGATCCTAAACCTAAACCCTAAACGCCTATAGACCGCAGCCATGTTAGCTGTACACTGTTGAAAACCCTAAACCCTAAACCAAAACCCATAAACCCTAAACCCTAAACCAAAACCCTAAACCCTAAACCGTTGAGCCCATTTTGAACCAGCTGAGGGTCTGAAGGTCTGACCAATTAAGGCCCAAAGGGTCTTCTTGGAGTCTGTTGATCTACCTATAGTCTCCATTGCAGTTCCTTTTTGGGGTTGCCTTATAGGATCTTTAATATATAATAAGTTAAACCAAGACAAGGAACTACAATGGAGACTATAGGCAAGGGTCCATGTACTCAAATAGCACATACTTTGGCCCCAAAGTACCTATATAGGGACTACTTTACGGCCAAAGTATATACTATTTGGGCACATGGGCCCTTAGGGTTGATCACGATCTGAAAAATAAGCCAACATGACCTCAAACCGGAAGCATATTCACAGAATGAGATAGACAATTTTGTTCAAAACACCAAGAACCGCAAGCCAGAGAGACCGAGCGTTTCATCATATCCCTCAGCCCCGAAACCCTAACCCCTTTCCCCTCACCTAGCGTTTAGGGAATTGGTCAACCTTCTCAGACTGAGCGAGACAGCCAGGCAACCAACCTCAACGAGGTGGAAGGTACCTGCTGAATTCCAGAGGTTAGGAGGGCTTAGGAACTATGGGGCTTATAGGGTTTAGGATTTATAAGGGTTAGGACTTAGGCCTTTGGGTTACGGGTGACGTGAGATTTGAGAGTTCAGGGTCTCGACCTCGGCATTCAAAGCATGGCTCATACTCCCACAAAAAAAGACCCTAAAGCCTTCATGATTCAGAACCCCAGGCCCCAGGCCCCATGCAAACCTTAAGCCATAGCGTGGATCGCAAACCAAAGTCGGGCTCTGCCTTCGATCAGCAAAGTTCAAGCTCACAGAGCACAAAGCAAGTTCGTGCTGACACACTTACACTAGCAGTGCCTTATAGTAGCCCTGATCATACCAACACTACGACGCAGTGCCTTATGGTAACCTTTATGGCTCCTTTCGGTAACTTCTGGTAGCCCATTACAAACTACATAGCGAGACGGCGCAAACAGCACAGAACAGCGCAGAACTGTCGACGTTTAGAAGGCAATGGGGGAATGGACCCCTATAGTAGTCCCTACATAATCCCCAAGAGTAGTCTCTATAATCCATGCCCCCATTCCCAACCTAAGAACCAGACAGAGAAATCCTGCCGAAAGGCCCCTGCCTCGACCTCCAGTGTAACCCGCAGAGCAATCCCATACCTCCTAGAACCCCCAGCTTTAGACAACCCCCAAAACCCTCACTCCCAAACCAAAACCCCTTAAACCCCTAAACCCAAACCCCAAATAAAACCCCAAAACCCCCATAAACCCTAAACCCCCTTAAACCCCGCAACCTCTCAGGCCCCTGAAGCCCTGAACCCTTACAGTACCCTTAGAAAGCCATATAAAGGAACCCTTAGAACCCCCTTTAAGGGGGATCCCTACAATCGCCTGAGCCGGCGCGGCTGCGGTTGCCAGGACCCAGGCCAGGGGAGGCGTGCAGCCCCGGAGAGGATGAGCCCCCTAGCGCAGGGTTTTAGTGTTTTTGGGCTTGGTTTTTGGATTTTCGGTTTTTTGTAAATCTTTCTGGTTTTGGGTTGTTTTGGGTTTCTTGTTTTTGAAGGCTTCTTTTGGTTTTCGAGTTTAGGGTTTTTATGGCAAGGGGGGTCAGCTTCAGACTTTGAATACTGTGGGGCTACGGAAAAGGTATAACGGTAAGTGTGGGCCTGGTGTTTACGGGGTTCCTTTAAAGGGCTCTATACGGGCTACCATAAGGGGGTACTATGGGGGTTTAGTGTAGGGGTATATAGTCTCTTCAGTCAGGTTCTTCGTAGAGAATGGGGGAATGGATTCTGGAGACTAGTTTTGGGGGTTATATAGGGACTACTTTAGGGATCCATTCCCCCATTCCCTACTAAGAGCCAGCGAGTTTGGTCAGTCTCTCAAGGGCAGAGACAAGGCCTGTGGCCGGAGAGTCCATGACAGCAGCAAAGCGTAGCTTACAAGAACCCCGTCCAAGAACGTGAGTCTGCTACTGCTGGGCTGGCGTTGGGTGCAACATGCTCGTGGCGTGTGGGCTAGCAGCCACCAGAAAGGAGGTACTCTTGAGGTGCTGCAGATCATTTGGGCAGGGAAGCCTGGATCACAAAAGCCTGCAAAGCATACGACTGGCGTCAGGCGGTGCTAGATGCTGCTCGAATACAGCCGAAGGAGGCTATGCCGTTTGCTGACGTCCACCCTTTGGGCCAATGCTGCATCGGGGTTCCATCGCACGCCGACTGCAATCTCAATGCTGCGATGTGAACACGTGTCGTTGCAAAACTTTAGGCCTTCGCCTGCGATCCTGCACTCTTCGTAAAATACACTGCAGCCACGCCGACGGACCATCAACTACCTCCAGAGCAACAGATGCTTGACCGTGTGTAATTATTGAAAACACCAACACGTTTCCCAACTCACCCGAAAGCCCATTGCTCAAACTTCAATACTCATCACAGCCCTGAAGTCACCACGATTGCGGGGGCTGACGCGATGGCATCGGGAACAAGCTGCCCGCGCTTTTCTGCCTCCAAGAGCCTTAGTCAGTCTCATCTCTAGCCAAGGAAATTTTGGGTTTAGGGCCAAGGCACGCAAAACCCTACACCCTAAGCCCTTAAGCCCTATACCCCCAACAGTTTTATGGAACCTCAACCCTACAGCCCAAGCTGGGCTTCTGATTGAAATGTTCGCTTTCAGAGCGGTTTATAGGGCTCTCGCAGGAGGAGAGGAAACCTGCTGTTCCTTTAAGAAAGCACCCCTCGTAAATCAGGAGGAACTCGGTAGTAGAAAGAGAGGCCATTTCAATGCCATCTGCTTTGCACATGATGGAGCTTACGGTAACATCAACGTTTCCCAAACTTAGACATACTGAAACCTGCGACTACAACATAAGCAGTAAATACTCAGACTCTTATACACACTACTTCTTTCAAACCGTGAACCCCTCTGAACCTCCCTTTACCACTACATCGTACATGCAATGCCCAAAACCCCGAAGCTTCCAAACTGCAAACCCCAATACCACCGAATCCCTAACCCCTATAAACTCCAACATTTCGAAACTTCCCGGTCTGGCCCCTCGGGAGACATGGCCTGGAAATTGGGATTCCAAGTAGTTATAACTATAGCCACCTTGTCAAATTATAGCTATGGGTACCTTGTGCATAACCCTAGTAAAAATATCTACAGTAGTAGCTACCTTCTTCATATAACTGGCCCCACATCCCGGAATTCTTTATAGCCCTAGTCGAAGTATCTACCTACAGTGGTTACCTTCTTTTATCCTTCTTTACAACCCTGACCTTGTTTATAACCCTAATGGTAGTATCGAAC